GCACACTGCACTACGCACTTAGGGCTCTGCAAGGCCACTGCCACGCATCAGCATCAGCCTCAGGGCAGGTTTCATCAGGGCTGCACATTGGCACAATAGTTCCAGGCCAACTCTCTCTTCCTTGCTCAGCAAATCAAAGCACTTTTCTCCACGCCAGGCACATGCACATCAAGATCTTCAATGGCATCTCCACCTGCCTGCGCAGGGCTTTACACAGAGGGAACTTCTATATTCCCGACTGAAGGATCTGGACTCTGGAGGTGCCAAAAGTGCAAAAGCTGTTGGAAATTGAACTTCTAAATTCCCGACTGCTTGTAGAATGAAGGATCTGGACTCTGAGGTGCGAAAAGTGCAAAAACTGCGGGGTGAAGGATCTGGACTCTGGAGGTGCCAAAAATGCAAAAACTGCGGGAAATCTCACTTCTATATTCCCGACTGCGTGTGGGATGAAGGATCTGGAATCTGGCCCGGAAATCCCGACGGTTCGTGGAAGGAAGGGTTGGGAATGTAGAATAAGCCCAATTTCCCAATTTATTTTTTGCACTTTTGGCACCTCCAGACTCCAGATCCTTCATTCCACACGCAGTCCCGCAGTTTTTGCACTTTTGGCACCTCCAGAGTCCAGATCCTGCATTTCACAAGCAGTCGGGAATATAGAAATTCAATTTCCCACCTCCAGAATCCAGATCCTTCCTTTCACAAGCAGTCGGGAATATAGAAGTGAGATTTCCCGCAGTTTTTGCACTTTTGGCACCTCCGAGTCCAGATCCTTCATTCAACACGCAGTCGGGAATATAGAAGTGAGATTTCCCGCAGTTTTTGCACTTGTGCCACCTCCAGAGTCCAGATCCTTCATTCCACAAGCAGTCGGGAATGAGGGCCTGAAACCCAGATCCAAGAGTCTGGGTTTGGAAGAGCGAGGCCTCTGAAATCCCGACACCCCCCCCCCCCTACCCCCTTCCTGTTCGTTTTGGTTTTTGGCCGGTGCAGATCGGGATTCACCAAGCAAAACCCAGATGTGAACAGGAGGGGGGTAGGGGGGGGGGGGGTGTCGGGATTTAAGGTCTTCCGAGTGCGCATTCTCAGAGGCCATCCCAAGGGCGCACTGGTGATCCTTCTTGCTTCTTATCAGTGCGGCCTCACGCCTCAGCAAAGAAGACACAGACTCATTGGCATGGACATTGGATGAGTCTCAAGGGCAACATGACAAGGAGTTGGATCAGCAAGATGAGATCGACAGGCCTGCAGGCTTGCAGGCTTGCAGGCTTGCTGGCCCACAGGAACCTACGCTAGAAGGACTGCCTCCTGCGCAGCAGCGCAACAAGTTCATGCAATGGCAGTTGAAGAGTGGCGCTTCTTTGCAGGCTGCGTCCAGAGCATGGTCCCACCAGCCGATAGTTGTCACGCGGAAGGAAATTGCCGCTGAGCGGAAGAAGCTTGCACAGGAGAGACAGTGCCGGAGAAGAAAAGCCTTAAAAGATGAAGACGCCAAGGAGATGGAGTGCTAAAGAGCCTCCTCCACACTTCCTGATTTGGAGAGGGGAAAAAGGGTGTGACAGTCTGTTGCTGCTTTGAGTGCACCGCTGGAAGTCTCAGTCCCCCCAAAAGTGCCAAGGTCCCGGAGGCCAGGGACCTGGAAGCAAGGTTGCACTTTGCAGCGCATTAGGCACTTTTCAGTGCCACTAAGATTGAAACATGTTTTGTTTAAGAACTTGCACTTTTCAGTGCTTTCAGTGCCAAAATGAGACACCCGCGCCTGCATGGTGATGCAACTGAGAAGTCATCATTCCTCGGTGTACCTGAGCAGTGGCTATTGCATGTGTCAAGTTGGTGGCTAGTAACATTGCCTGGAACATGCCTGAAGGCCTGGCTGAGTAAAGTGAATAGCATGCATGCAACACAGCAATTTAGAACAGCTGGGTGACATGCACGCAGGCACCATGGCTGTCAGTCCATCGTGTGAAACTGGGCCCCTGGCCTCCGGGGCGAGCTTGATGTGTGGCCAAGGTGCCCTCCCTCCCTGCACAAAAAGTGCCAAGGTCCCGGAGGCCAGGGGTCTGGAAGCAAGGTTGCACTTTCCAGCGCATTAGGCACCTAACAGTGCCACTAAGTTATGTTTAACAACTGCACTTATCATCAAACTTCAGTGCCAAAAAGAAATGCCAAGGTCCCGGAGGCCAGGGATCAAGGCACCATCCCTCCCAACAAACGCCAAGGTCCCGGAGGCCAGGGAGTTGGAAAAAGGCTTGCACTTTGCAGTGCATTAGGCACTTTTCAGTGCCATCTATAAACTTGTTTTGTTTGACCACCCCCCGCGTTCCTGCAATTCCTGAAGACCCTCATAAGGAGGCACCAACTGCAAAGCAAACTCGCAAGCCAGACTAATGGCTGTCAAAACCTGTGACTCCATGTGATTCTTAAAACTACAAAGCATGAACTATAAATGCAAGCACTGCGGTAGAGGGAATTTAGGTTCCGTCCTGCCCCCCCCCCCCTCCGCCAAGGAGAAACCAACTGCCTTTAACCCAGGTGCCTGGGCAGAGTTGGTGAGTTCTGAGGCCTGAACCATAACCACAGTTTACAGGGGTAACACCAAATTCTGCTATCCTACTTTGTCTTGTCCGGTATCTTAGATAGGCTGCTTTTGGTTTTTGGATTGATTTGAAAAAGCAAGTCCAGCCCTTATGCTGCTCTTGTTTCCAAACAAGCCTTCCGTGAGTGGCAAAGCAAAACCTGGCATCGAAGTGATCGCGTAGGAATCAAAGGTGCGGCCGCTCCCTTCTGCGCACCTTCATCCCACGATTGCGGTTCACACATTCAAGCGACATCAGTTTTTTTTTGACTAACTCCAGACAAGTCTCGAAAACCTGGGAGCACGCAAAGAAACTTTCAAAGGCTGCTTGACCCTCGCTATGAAGCCAACTACGCAGAATGCGTTCAAGGTTCTATTCCATGAGCACGGGGTCAAGTACGAACTGTGTTGAAGAAAAGGGCTCCCAACCCCACTAAAGCAAGTTGCCACCTCTACCTTGGCTTGAAGCTCAATCCACTTGACGCACGCACACACACACACGAACAAACCAACACTGGGCCACAAAACAGCCTAGACTTGGTGGAGGATGTTGGACACTACCTTGGACAGCACTGAAGACTCACCTGAATACCTTGAACAAAATAGAGCATGTTGTGGAGGATGTTGGACACGACCTTGGACAAGACTGCAGACTCACCTGAAAACCTGGGACAAAACAGAGCATACTCGGTTGGACAGGACTGCCACTGTGTCCATACTTGGGGGTTCTTCCCTCGCATAGGCAGCGCTCACCTCAAACTTACCTACCTAATCTAGGCGGTACGTAAGATACCTAAAAGTCCGAGTACGTTACTTACGGACGACTCGCTTCCTTGAGCGGAAGGAGGGTGGAGGGTTTCTTATCTACTTACTTACTTACTCACTTTCATTATCCTGCTACTTCACTTAGCTACTTACTTACTTGCTTGCTTCCCTTAGTGCGCTACCTAATCCAGGCAGTGCGTAAAATATTTACCATTGCGAGTATGTTACTTCCAGACGATTCGCCTCCTTGAGCGTAAGGGGGTGGCTCGGTCACTCAGTCACGCATTCACGTACTTACTTAAGGCGGTAAGAAAGACACCTACCGGAAGGGGGCTGGGGTATGTCACTTGCGGACGACTCGCTTAGTCACTTACTTCCTTACCTACTTACATACATACTTACTTACTTACTTACCTGATCCAGGCGGCAAGTAGATACTTACCATTCCGAATTGCGAGTATGCTCTTTACGGATGACTCGCTTCCTTCAGCGGAAGGAGGGTCGAGGTGGCGGGTGTTTTAGTTACTTACTTGCTTACTTACCTACTAAATTACTTACTTACTTACTTACTCAGTGACTTCCTTACTTACTTACTTACTTACTTACTTACTTACTTGCTTACTTACTGACTTGCTTACCCTGCGGACTTACCGAGCTACTTGATTGGTTGCTTGTTTCATTTAGTGCGCTAGCTAATCTAGGCGGCGAGTAAGATACCTACCATTGCAAACATGTGACTTACGGACGACTCGCCCCCTTGAGCGCAAGCGAGGTGGGGTCGGTCACTCACTCACTCACTCACTCACACACTCACTCACTCACTCACTCACTCACTCACTCACTCACTCACTCACTCACTCACTCACTCACTCACTCACTCACTCACTCACTCACTCACTCACTTAATACAGCGGCCGGGTTGGGGGGAGGGGGGTTAATTACTTACTTACTAATTACTTACGAGCTGGGTTGCGGGTCAAGGGGTTAGTTACTTACTGACTTACGGACCTGCTTGCTCTCAGTAAGAAAATGTTGTGTTTTTTTTTTGCCGGGGAGTGGGGAGGGGGGCTAAATACTCACTTACGTACTTACTTACTTGCTTGCTTGCTTGCTTACTTACTCAGGGGCCGGGTTCGGGGGGAGGGAATTTAGTTAGTTACTTACTTACTTACTTACGGTCCGGGTTGGGTTTCGAGGGGGTTAGTTAGTTACTCGCTTACTTACGGACCTGCTTGCTCCTAGTAAGGGATGTTGGTAATGCTACAGGCCTCAAACCTGGAGCCTTCGGCGCCGGGGGTACAGCCTTTCCAGCCAGAATGTTGACCACCCCATCCTCATGAGCAGCCTCTGCGGCACTAATGCGCTCATTCACCGCAATCAGCGCTCCAGTGCGGATGGAGCTCTCTAGCAAATTGCCCGGCACTTCAGGTACTCCATAACTCACAGCAGGCTTGCCCGTCACCACTGTAAGCATCATCTCGATTGCCTTCAGTAGCTGGCCGTTTGTGCCAGTCATTGCCACGGATTCACTATGAAGTTCTCCCACGCTGCAGATACGAACTCATCAACAGGCACATTTCCGGCCGCGTAGTTTAAGGGTGAGTCACCCCAAAGCCGAAGCCCAGAAGCTTTGGGCGAGCGCGAGCGAACTGGGTGGCCATGCGCCGAGGCATCGGAAGAACTTCCCCAGCTCTTGGCCTCGAGGAGACTGCAACAAGGGAGGCTCTAGGGAAACAAGGATTTGAGGTAGGCCCGAGGAGCCCCTGACCTCATTTGAGGAAGCAAAGGGGGTCAAAGCATTTCCCAAAAGAAAGATTCGGGTCATGACCAACCATTTTTCAAAGGTCAGAAGGAGAGTCTAGGCAGATATAGACGACATCCAGAAACCGCACCGCCGAAATCAGAAACTAGGGTTTCTGATCCGAGGTTTCAGCCATGGTTTCAAAGCGGTGCAGGATTCGGTCCACAACTGGTGTCCTTTTGAAACAGATCGATGGGTTTCCCTCATGGTAAATGGTTTATTCGTGGTTTGGAGCCAGATGGTTTGGATTTGGTTTGGAACGGTTCCTGGCTTTGTAGAGGGCAAATGGGAAACCACCCCACCACCAAACCAGGGTCCAAACCGAGGGAAGCTGACTCCCTGGTCAATTGGTTCGTAAGACCGGTCAAACCCAGTGGAATCCATCAAACCAGTACAAAGCATCTATTTTGGAAAATCAATGACCACTGGGTCTAGCAGGGCCCGAGATGTTTCTCAACTTAAACTGAAGAAACAAGACCAACCAGGGTTCAAGACTTGGTCTGGGAGCGGGTTGTCATAAAAAAACCTGTCCCTTTCTGCTTGATCCGTTTCCTCACTTCTTAAGTTGACTGGCCAAAAAAAATATGAACTTTTTATTTACCACTAAAATGGTCTTTCCAAAAAGTTTAAAGTCCATCAACTCAGGAAGTGAGTTTCAGTGCCTTTCTGGTCTTGACGATCCCAACCCCGAAGAGCTCTCACGTCTTGGAGGCGCCTACTTTGCCATGAGCCTCCGAAAAGGTGTGGCCGAAGGGCCATTGGGTTGCCTATGTTATTGGGGAAGGTGTGCGGCAATGGTAGGACCACAAATCCCACCATGTGATGTCCAAGGAGCCTGGAACCTCATGCGCAGTTTGGCATGGGGGGCGGTATGTTCTGTGTTGACTTGCTTTGTATTGACATGTTTTCTATTGAATTAATGTATATATATATATATATGTACATTGTATGTGTGTCCCCTGGGTTTCAGGATCCTTCTTTTTCCTCACCCCTTTCCCGCCATCCCTAGTCACCCCAAGTAAAAAAATCAAGTCGTTTGACCTTAGCAAGTACCCCTGTCAGCCCCCTCCATGACCATCCCTGACCGCAAGTCAAGGGGTCAACATGATGGCACGTTTACTCACTTGAGTGGATTCGTCGGAAAAAGTCCGAACTGTTTACCACTAAGATGGTCTACCCAAAAGTTTAGTCCAGGAACTCAGGAAGTGCCAAGGTCAAAGCCCCTCTGGTGATTAACTTCTTTCTACTTGGTTGTTTGGACTGGTAGTGAGGTGTTCCATGGGGTGATTTCCCCATTTACCCACAAAATGACCGAAGCCGAAAAAGTCGAACCTAGACTCTCCATGGCCCTTAAAAAATGGTTGGTCATTGCCCAAAAGAAAGATTCGGGTCATGCCCCCTTTGTCTAGGTGTCACGGAGACTCTAGGAAGCAACAAGTCGAAAGCAACTCATTTGGTTAAGACCCCTGACAATAAGGAGCAAATACTTCCAGTAGTGAATTCGATTCCAACTTTAAAACCAACAGGGGAAACGACATATTCTTTTCAGCCAATGGAAGCAGCCCAGTCGAAGCAAAGTCGAACGTCGGGAAAAACAAATCCGAGCGCCCAGGCAGCGCAGCTTGTAGCGGCCCATCATGCCCAAGGCCCTCAGCTTCCGGTCCGAGTAGGCCTGGCGACTTGGATGTGACCTGCCCTAAGGCACTCCTCAGATCCTCCGGTAGAGAGGTTAGAATACGGGTACCCGTTTTCTTGTACCTAGAGTCTCCATGACCCTTAAAACATGGGGTCATTGCTTAAAATAATGGGGTCATGGACCCATTTTTTAAGGGTCATGGAGACTCCAGGTAGTCTATTTCAGTCAGAAAACCCCCAAAAAGGGGTAATGGCGGACCTGGCAGCCAGTTCTGAGGCCCAAAACAACCGAGACGCTTAGGGTGGGCATGAAAACCCTTCCCAGGCAAAAGACGGTGGCCGTCAGAGTGGTCTGAAGTCTAAAACAGTGGGTTTTTCCTCCAAACGTGGCCTGAACCTTCGCTAGGCGTTCCCTCAAAAACGCTCGGAGCTTGCACTAAAAGGGGACACCCCCATCTCTCAAAATCTGCCAGATTCTAGAGGACTACCAAACAGATTCTAGAAGGCTTACAATAAGGAGGACAACCCCCTGCAACCGCAGAGATTTATTCAACCCTCTCTTGGCAAAAAGTGCCCTTGGTTTCCGATGTAGATGCACAGCCTGATTCGTGATTCCAGTATATGACGGGTTTCTCGAAATGCTTGTGCTCTTAAAGGGCGACCAAAAGGAAACGTTCTATTTGAGGTGGGGGTCGAGGAGGCTTCGAAGACTATCCTCGGCCCCAAAAGTCCACCAACTGGCCTGATCCCTGAGTTCAGCTTGGAGTCTCCTTCTGACCCGAAATAACAATGGGTCCATGACCAACCATTATTTTGGGTAGTCTGACCCACCATTTTTGATTCGGGTCAGAAGGAGACTCTAGGTCTAGCCATCGGGAAATCTTTTGGAATTTCTGGGACCGAACGGCTAGATCCAGGATCATATTTTTTTTCGGGGCGGCGGACAACCGGAGGTACCCGGAGTCCCATGGAAAATTCCATGCCAGGCAGAACCTACACTTACCCCTGAAAACTCCAAGGATTGGGGAAGTTAACCTTTTACAGACATATAGCCCATGTTACCCAAAAAGTTGAAAAGTTGTGTTTTTAAGAGGTAAGTACACAAAAAGCCAATGGCTTTGGGTCAATGCGCCGGAAAAACCTGACTCGTCTTACCCGCTTTGTAGAGGTTAATATGGGCTGCCATCCCCCATGAACCAGATACTAACTCGATTCTGCTGCGCAAAATCCAGCCGTACCTTGGAGATACAACAGGCCCAGGCTTCACCTCTCTGGGAAAATGTTGGTTCCAGTGCCGGAGGAAGATGAGATCAAGTCGAAGAGAGAGGTACTAAATGAGAGAAGGATTTCCAAAATCCCTATTGTCGCACTTGGTTTGATACTGGTGTACTCTTAATTATGTCAAGTTTCCTCAGCTCAAACCCGACCCCCCCCCACTGGTTCGGTACCATGATTTAAGAATTCTTGGTTTGATCCTAGCATGAAAATCCTTTACTGAAATCCATCCAAAAACACCCCCAAAAACAGTTCGGCAAAGGGGATTGCCCACAACGGGCCCTGATCGTCTTTAATTGGAGACATATTTAGTGTCCTGGGGTGGGTGGAACCTAAAAGGAAGTCCTGGCAATACTAAATGTAAACTAGGCCATACCAAACTAAGGACTGGGAATCTAAAAGGACGTCCTGGCAAAACTAGACTGGACTAGGCAATGCTGAATCAAGTGCCGGGAATCTAAAAGCAAGTCCTGGCAATACTAAATTTAAACTAGGCAATACTAAACAAAGCACTGGGAATCTGAACCGGGCAATACTCAACTTAGAGTAGGCAATGCTAAACTAAGCTCCGGCAATCCAACAGGAAGTGCTGGCAATACCAAACTGTCACTTGGTATCCCAAGAATCCAGGCAGAACCGTCTACTAAAATGGGTAGGAAATTCAACTCGGGACCGGCTTCATCTCCACCCACCTTTTGGCCGAGAGTAGTTTTCATTAGATTCCATAGCCAAATGATGCCAAATGGCCTTTTTCAGGAATCGGTTTTCGGATCGGGCGCCTCCCATCGACCAAAAGTGAATCGATCATATTGATTGGCATTGGGCCACTGGTGCTCCCATTCGATTCGCTGGTCACAGTTGGTGGCAGTTGGATGGGTGAGTGGGTGGGTGAGTGGGGGGGTGTCGGTGTGTCTCTGCGTATCTATTTTTGAGGGTGCATATGTTTCAAGTGGGATTGAAGGGAAACCACAAGCACAAACAAACATCTTCGTGGTATCCCTCATTTCGCAAGCCGGTCCGTTTCGGAAAACCAAAAAAGTTCTAGCACAACCCGTAGGTTGCTTGGACAAAGAACCACACCGTAATACTGTCCAACTTTCTAATGCGAGCTTCGGATTAATCCGAGGACCCCTCTAGTCAGAGAACCCCCTATATCCGCGTAAAATAGATCATTTCCCTACTAAAAGGCCCCAAATGAATCCGGTGTGTGTTATTGTTTCTTAGGTTCGGAGCAACCTGCACGTTTGAATTCAATTCGACCTCGCCTGGCCACAGATGGGGCACAGCGGGGAATTGTTGCGGCGGATCCACTCGGCAGCACAAGCACCTGAGTAACAAGTTACTGCTGGACTGGACCTGAACTGCTGGACTTGTGGTTGGGCTGGGGGGGAGGGAGGGGAGGGGGGAGGGAGCCCAAATAAGCCCTAAATAAGGGCTAAATAAGGGCTTATTTAGGGCTTATTTGGGCTCCCTCCCCCCTCCCCTCCCTCCCCCCCAGCCCCCATGATGGACTGGTGGTTGGGCTACGAAGTGCAATTAAAGGGCACCAACTGGGCAAAAGGTCTCGGAAACTTTTTCAGGTATGGGTTTCATGGGTCCAAAAAAAAACCTCTGTAAACAACAGCTGAATTTCAAGCTGCAAACACATCACCTGACAATACAACTGTTCCTAAAAATAGGTTCATAAATAATGATAGAATCAAAGAACTTCAATTATAGAACAAAAACGACCCCATATGCGTCTAGTCAATTTTGCTTAAACGAGTTGCAAAGTTGTTACGTCACAAACATAACAAGTTGATCTACCCCTCAAAACTATCACAAGATCTCGCTGGGGTCCTCATCAGTTGACAATCCCGCCAGCATTCTAAGCATCCCAACTTTGCGAGCCTACCCACAATGTAAATCGCGGTCTTTTTGAGTACATCACAAGCCCAGCGCATCACCTCGGCCCGGCGAAATCTGGACGTTGGAGACCTGCACACAAACAGGGAAGTGCCACAATAAGATGCATCCTAAACAATTCTAGCATCATCGAGGCTCAACATCGAGGATGCTAGAATTGACTTAGGACTCGAAACAAGCTCTGAAAAACTCTTATCACTGTATTTCTGAATGCACGTACCGTATGCTTGTGCCTGCTCTAGCTGCTGCTGCTTCACTTGCTGTGGTGGCATTTGTTCATGCTGTCGCTTCGAATTTGTCGAGAGAGAGAGAAAGAGAGAGTGGGTTTCCCCCTCGCTTCTTCCGTCTGAGCAAAATCTGATGGTGTGAATTCATTCAGCCTGCGCTACGTTGCGCTGTGGAGCGGCTACGGAAGCAGCATGCAAACAAAGAAAATGAAGTCAGTAGCGTGAGCGATGAGGTGAACAGGAAATAAAATACACAACGGTGTAATCGTGCAATGGACGAATGCATGCAGCCGGAGTTTGATCTAATCACCATAAGGGTCATGGCCCCTCCAACTGCACACCCCCGGACCCTCCAATGGAGAACCCCGACGAATTCCTCAGGGGCATTTGAAAACAACCAGTTTTGAGGGCCAAAACAATCCATCGACCCTTAGACCAATGAGATTGGTCGGTACGCCAGCGCTGGGGATAACGGCGTCGCCCTGAGAATCGTTCCCATCAAGGCCGATGTGAGAAGATCCGCAAGAGTTGGCCTTGCGCTTTTCCCTTTCTTTCGGGCAAATACTCCATGGAGAGACTCCAGGTGGACACACCATGTTGGGGGTCGATTTTGACACATTTGGCCGAAATTCCGGCGACAAAATGATCTCAAAGGATTCCAAACCCACAAATGGCTCGCACTTGTCTTCTTGCTCTTGTCGCCGTAACCCAACGAGAAGAAAAAGAACACCCATTTCAGCCCAGGGAAAATGCCACGAGGAAGCCCGTCAAGATTTTCCAAGAAGTAATGTTCAAACTGGCATAGGGAGATATGGGGGTTGATGAAAAGGTCCTGTACGTGGGATGACCATTCAGGAAACAATCAAACAAAAAACATATGACCCACGAACTGGGAAAAGCTACCCATGGCGATTCAGGGGCCAGGAATATTTATCAACCCCCATATAGGGACCGCACTTTCCTGGGATGACTGTTGACTTGAAGCGCCTGGGCGCCGCGACCAAGCCGCGGAAATGGCGACGAAACACACACACACAAACAAACAAACAAACAAACAAACAAACAAACAATCAAACAAGCAAACAAACAAACAAACCAACCAACCAACCAACCAACCAACAACCACACACACACACACTCAGAGACACAGAGACACAGAGACACAGAGACACATCTTCGGCCGAAGCTCAGGCCGGCACGGTGCACGTGGGCCATGGAGCCGGAACAGCCTGAAAGGAGCAGTGTGCGGGCCGGCGGCCGGGCGGGCGGGCGGGCGGGTAGGCGGGCGGGTCGGCGGGCGGGGTACCATTTTTGCTGGTTGGTTTGAAGGGAAATCGACGTGAAGACCGCAACTTTTTATCACTCCCTGAGTGGATTGGCCAAAAAGGTCTGAATTGTTTATTTGCTACTAAAATGAGCTTCCCAAAAAGTATAAAGTCCAGGAACTCAGGGAGTCAGTTTTGCTTGCCCCCTATTTTGACACATGCCCGTCAGCAGGCCTCTCTGCATTCTGAAGATTGGTAGGAGGCACCACAACGCCACGTGACGCCGAATTCCGGACACAAACAAACGCACTCCGTCCGTGTCGGTTCTTCTCACATAGATCCATTTCTTGAAAAACATGTGGGGTGTTTCTCAAAATGGGGATCCCCTAAAACGCCATGAGCAACTCCCATGTCAAGTGTTGCTTTTTGAAACTTCAATGGCGGACACGGCCGGGCATCATTGGCAACAAATTTGAAGGTTCCCTTTTGAAACTTCATAGCAACAAATGAACATGTCACACGTGTCCATCTTTTTTTGAGGGTACTCTTTTGGTGTTTTTAAAGGGGAAACCAACGCAACAAGCATCTTTTGTGGGTCTTCCCGCCCAACCAAAAAACAACAACTCCCACAGGTCTTTTATACAACTCGAAGTTGCATCTTCAGTACCTCCTAATTACGAACAAGCCTTCTCATGTTCAACCTGGAGCACAGAAGTTGGGGCAGTGCGAGATGGGTTCAAATGCCTCATATCCCAACTTTCCGTTGTCTTTTGGTTTTTGGTTTAGGGTAGGCTTACACACCGAAAAGCTGCGCCTCCAATCAAAGGGAACCGGGCCTCGGAGACGACGTTCCTTTTGGAAAAAGCACGGCAACTTGGGTGTAATGTTTGCTTTGTTTGAGGGCATGCTTTAAAGGGCAACGTTATCCTTTTCGTTCTTTTCCGGTTGGTTTAAAGGGCAACCAAAGGAACACCACCAGGGAGGGGGGTCACATCCCAATTTTAAGACAAGCTTGCTTTCAGAGTGGAAAAAGGGTATCTCAGTATTCCTCCAATATCCAAGGTTGCTTCCAAAAAAACAAACACCGTTCAAATACCCAAGGATTCCTGAGAGAAATGAACGTCTTGGTGCTTCGTCAAGCGAGACGGGCAACAATGACCCTGCTCAGCAAGGCATTGCCTGACTTGCTCTTCTTCATTCCTTGATTGCCGTTCTTTGTCTTCTCATTGTCATCATGGCTTGTCCTCATCTATTCTGCTCTGTGTTCCTTTGGTAACGTGGTGACGGCGCCGCCCTATTTGTTTCTGGCAACACCTGGCGCACTCTGTTCCGCATATGGCGTATGCTTCTGACACGCTTCTGCCCATCATACAAATGGACAAACAAGTGCACAAATTCTAAGGCTGTGCAATGTACAGTGCTAATTGGAGCTCCCCCGTGTCTGATGTCGCAGACATGCGGGCCCAAACTTGGGAAACTTTGCAAATCATAGCCTGGTGGCACGCTCGAACATGTGAAGAGCTTGTCAGCAGGCATGCAATGAACAAGCAAGCCCAGTTGATATGCAACAAACGATTCAGGCTGTTTTTCCACGTGCGTCCAAAGGTGCCACCTCAAGAAAAGCGCTCGCCGATGAAGCAAGCGTGGATGTTCAAAACTCTGCTTGCCATCCCCCAAGATCTGCCTGACTTGTGCAGTGGCCATAAAACAACGCCGTCCTTTAGGGTGGTCCCAAACAAATACATATGATTCTATTTAGGTAGTCTGGCACCCAATGACCACCTGATGCACACATTCGTTCTGTTTGGATCATGAAGGGTGCATTGCCAACCTTGAAGAATCCGTTGGGGAACTTGAGACCACAAAGCTGAACATGAACAGAACCAACACAGCCAACACAAACAAATAGCAGGTGCCACACAAACGGTCATAAGTTCTTACAGCCACACTAAAAAAACAACATACTAGTTGTTAAGTTGCTTGAGGCTTTGTGTTTTGGGTGACCCAGTGTTTTCAGATACGTATTGGCCCCAAGATGCCCAACACTTCTTGCCTTGCACAACAGATGGAAAACTCAGTTGCCCACTTTCACTTTTCACTTTCCAGCGCGACGAAGTCCACTTCGTCTAGCGAAATTCTTGGAGCAAGCCTTCGGCCCGGCCAATTTCTATGGCTGTAGTACACACACTCCCTGGTTCAGAGCCAACGCAGTCCCCGACACGAATGTCCAAGCAGGACTGCCCCGCCTGGTAGACGACAGAGTCAGAGAACAAACGAGGAACTGTGACTTGAGATGGCCCAAGCCCTACGATCAAAACTGTTGCCCTGCGCAGAACAAGCTGTGCGAGGAACTCACCCAAACAAACAGTCACGTGTGTATACACGGACTGCGACACCCCACTGAGTGTTCCGTGAAAGCTAGGCAGGCATCGACAAGGCCGAAACTAACACAAGTTGTGCGCGCACATTGAATGCCAGAAAAAGCTTCAATCCGAAGTGGTCCACGTGATGCAGACACATTGGTCCCTAGGCTGCGACCCAGATTGCTCAGCGCAATGACACCGCACCATTGCCTAAGCAAGGCCTTGCAGGTTTTGCGGGTGTTGGAAACATAGTCAAACAGGCAAAGAACTGCAGAACAAGCCAAATGAGACCTAAGTCACGTTACGCCCTGGTGAAATACACAAGATAGCTGTTGTTCTCAATGTCCGGGGCATCCTCTCCACGCAAGGCTGGCAAGGCACTGGGTGTTTCACCGTCGTCAGTGACAAAAGGTAGGGAGCCGTGTTGAAAAAGCACGGTGCGATAATGCCCCGCGTCTGGCGAGGGACCCAGGTGAAAGGTGCAAGCTTGCATTTGGTACTGCACCGTCTGAGTGTTCAAAGAGTCAGAATCAAAGCAAGGAAGTGCAACAAAAGAAGTGAGTTTTACAGGAGTCAAGCTCTTATGCACCTCCCCACCACGCGGCTGAAAGCGGTTCAGCTGCAGCACGAGAAGATCTGGCGGCTCTGTCAGGGCATGAGTGTACACCTGGGCGCTCCATTCGTTGATCAAACTCTGCAACGTGGCTTCTTGCTCTGGTACCAACTCTGCGGGAAGAAAAAGTGGCGCAACCTGTCCCGAGTCCTGCACGACTGCCTCGTTATCAACCCCCAACCGAGCTTCCCATTTGCCCTGCATGCACGGGAGATGAGTCCGCGCCTGGAGAAAGCTCAGAAACTCCGCCACATCATGTTGTATGTGTGGAGCCTGCCAGCCAAGCACTGTCATTTGCCAAGGGACCATCTGCCACAAAGTGACAGGTTGTTGGCAACTCAAGGCCTTGACAACACAAGAGCGGAGATTGCCCGCAAGCATCACCTGCAGCGTGTCACGAGCAAGGGCTGACCAAGCAAGAGCATACACTGTGGCGTTTGCGTAACAATGATTGGAGGTGTTTCGAAGAGCTAAGCTGAGCACAGCCTGTCGACGATTCCAGCAATCTGCTGCGCAAGCGGGGATCTCTGCAACCGCTCCTGCCGAAGAGATGCTCCGACAAGGTGGAGCACGGCGCTTCCACTCAGTTGCGCAAGCAGCCTGTGCGCTTCGTGCGCTGCTTCCACTCGCAAGCTCACCTCCAAGAGCTACTGTTTCGCTGTGAAACTCCGCCGCCAGCGGCCGCGTGGCATGAAAGCGTAGCACTAATCCAGGCACAACAAGCAACTGGATCAGCCTTTTCAGGATCTGCTCTACTTGAGCATCGGACAACGCTGGCTTGTCTGTTGTGGTGTGTTGCTTGCTCTGGCTGTCCCATGCCATGTAATGCCAATTCTGTTGTTCGTCTATCCATTGAAGCTGTCTGGCCGAGTTCATGGAGTCCTGGGCCTGCATCAGTTTCACTTTGCGGTTGAGCATTTCTGTGAAGAGGCATTGGAGCAGAATCACCCTGAGCGGTTGGGAGAGTTTCGCGGGGTCGGCTTGCTTTTGCTTCTTCCAAGCCTGAGACACGTCCCATATGGTTGGGAGAACGGTGGTGGGCGGCGCCGTCTTCAGGAAGAGTACGAAACCTGTGTCCTGCCGGTACACTGCGAGTGCGTCCTCGTGTCTTAGAGCCAGGCGTGCTAGGCTTTTGCACACTTCCCGAAGCTCGCCGTTTGTCTGCTCTGTGGCCTGTCGGCCTTTGCGTTGCTGACTGTGGCCTGCACCATTGTCTGATGTCGCGGCCATGTCGCGACCCTGGCGCTTGCCCTTGCCTTTGTTGGTGTGTTCCCCTGTCTTGGGCCATTTGCTGGGGGTTTCCCCTGTCGGCACCGCTTCCATTACCCGCAGGCTGGGCAGCAAGTGGCTGAAGAGCTGCATCTCCTCTGTCGCTGGGTCCACATTCATCATGATCACCTGCGCTGGCGCAACCCACCGCTGGTGTCGGCGAGTTCAGGATTGCAGCAAGCAACCGGCTCGTAAACAGCACAACGCACTGCACAAGGTGTCTGGCTGGCCTGCACTTGTAGGCTGTGTTACACCAAGAACACGGTTGTCGGATTTCTGAGCCAAACTGCCGGCAGGTCTGTTGGGTGGCTTTGAGTGCCTCGGCATGTTCCGGGTGCTTGCGTGTCAGATGCGCCTTAATGTAAGGACTGGATGCAACCCATTGCAAACAGATTGGGCAGTGGTGTAGCATTTGCTTTTGGAAGCTGGGGTCAGCAGCGAGACCTCTCCAACCATCCTGTTGCAACAACTGCTTGATGCGGGGATCACGCGCTGGGGGCAAGGGCCCTCCAGTCATGCGGCTACTTACATTGGGTTGACCCTGCGGCTGCATGTGGCAGGTCCGACGCCAAATGTGTTGCGCAAACTGCGGCCAGCCGGCAAAACTTTTCTGGCAATGCCTGCAAGTGGGCATTCCGTCCACTGAGTGCTCCATGGGGTACCGTTTCCTGACAGTTGCCATCTCACTCGGGGCACGGGTGTTGCTGCGCAGTGGCTAG